GAAGGGTGGCGGATCAGTGGCTGGACTCAAACCACGATGTCCCTGAATTTAAAGAGGTGTTTTGGTCCTTTTATTCTTTATCATGTACATAAGAGCATTAAGGAGGGTATTAATATTTCAGTTAATTCAGCAGGTACACTACCTGCTGAATTAACTGGGATCAGTGCTAACTATAAGGATCTGGGGTTCTGGACTCTACAGATATGGGATTTCAGAAATTTCTTTTATTTATAAGAATGACACAGACTCATGTTCGTCAGCTGTCTGAGTTTTCATCTGCAGTTCTTTGAGATGTTTTGACACCAATGAAGGAAAGTAGGGCTGCACAATTAATCAGAATATAATTGAAATCGCAATTTGGCCAAGTGCAGTATTCAAATCACAGGATCGGCATTTTTTTTTTTTTTTTTTTTTTGGTGAAGGTAATATGTGTCACAAGTGTTGTGGTTCTACAGAGACGCTGCGGCCTACCAATCATATTCTCCAGATGTTTGTTTGGACGTTGGAAGCTGTGTTCATGTCTGACAAATGTTGCCCCGCTGTGAGGGCCGCACTCATGTAAAAGCATGACACAGTATTTTACGGCCGTTTGAACTGCGTGTATACTGTAGTTTTCTTATCTTCACCCCACCTGTGTCTTGGAGTCGGGGCGGAGCCAGGGGACTGTCCCGTTTCGTCTCAGCTCGGCCATCTTGGCGTTGAGTTTGTGCGCGAGGACGATGGTGAGGGGCATGCACTCCTCTGTCTCATCTGTGGCGTATCCAAACATCAGACCCTGTCCACAAAGAGCGAGGAGTCAAGACTAACAAGTCATGTCGTCATCACGGCCTCTGACGTCATAGTTCATCTTTAATGTAAATTTTTAACGGAAGTTGACATCTGGTTCTATAGTTTCGAGTCTCATTGAGAAACATGGTGGTTTAGTGACTCATTCTACAGAAAACGAATCCAAAAGACAGTATTAGTTCCCTGGTTGTGGTGTGTTATTGTGTTTATGTAGATGACCTGGTCTCCGGCTCCGATGTCATTCTCCAGACGATCAATATGAACTCCCTGTGCGATGTCGGGGGACTGCTGCTCCAGAGCCACCAGCACGTTACAGGTCTTGTAATCAAATCCTGGACGGAGAGGTGGAGACGGGACAAATCAGAATCTAAACTCAGACACATGACACCAATTCCCAGTCCAGTGTGTTTGCTTTCAAACATGCATGACATAAAAAAGATTCAGGTGTTTTTCCTCTTCACCTTTCTCTGAGCTGTCGTAACCAATGTATCGGATGGTTTCTCTCACCACGCCCTGGTAGTCTACGTTGGCCCGGGATGTAATCTCACCACAGAGTAGCACCATGCCCGTCTTGCACACCGTCTCTGTTCGAACACACAGAGGACATTTCTTTCCTCTTTTTTTTTTTTTTTATTTTTTTTTACATGCAACAACATAAGTGCAAACCAGGAATGTTGTGCTGTTCTTCTCTGATCACTTGAAATTTGGATGAGGATGTTCCTGGTTTACTTAGATTTTCAAGCAAAGTTGTACAGAGAAATTCATCTGGTTATAATTTTTGACTGCTTCACACCAGTCAAATCCCTTTGTAATGGATTTTTGTTCCTGACTGGTAGCATCTTCAGGTGATCTAATATCAAGGCTATAAGTCGTGTCTTCTCCTGTTTCAGTTTGACGATAAGTATCAAGAAGTTACATCAGCTAGGTGAGTTGTCGGGTGTAGAAAAGTAAATTCAAAAACATATTCTGTAGCTTTTAGAAAACTATTCACTCTTCCCAGTGGTGGCGGAAAACAGGACGTTACTCACCACAAGCCACTTTGGCATCAGGGTCTTGCTCTAGGTGAGCATCCAGTACAGCATCACTGATCTGATCACATATCTTATCTGGAAAAACAAGAAGAGGGTTTAGATACATTGAGCTTTTTAGCTGAAGCTACCAGGTCGTTTCCTCGTGTGACCTTCTGCTGCTGGGCTCAGATTTCTGCTCTGGGCAGAGCCTGAACAGACCAGATTTCACCGCTCCATCAGAGTACTACACATCAGTCCTATTAGGAGCTACAGCACTATGAATAACCCTGGCTCAGTGCCCCCTTATGCCAATGTGACATGGTACACAGTAACCTCAGATCATCAAAGCACTGCCACTGTCACCAACTACTGTACTAACACAGTAAAGTTGTTGTATTTCGCAGCACAGTCGTATGTGTGTAAACTGTGAGGCATGGACTGATACCACACTTTTGCTTCACCAACATTTGCTTCCCTCTCTCTTGTTTGTGGACTGTCTTTTAAGAAATCTTGTACCCATGCATTAAATTGACGGAGCTGCTATTATTATCACACATACATGTATCTCCTACCCTCGTGAACTCACAAGGCACCATACGCTCAGAGTGCTGCGTTTACATTTTCACATATACAGAGGTACTGCTTTTGAATAACACGCACGTCAGCACAATGTTTTACTCCCAAAACTGTCCACACACAGAACAAATTATCAGTCTGGTATGAGTAGAATCGCAGTCCACAATCTGAATCACAATCTGCATCCTGATTTTATTGTGAAAGTCTTGACTGGAAGTTGTGATTCGTATCTTAGTTCATATTGAGTGTTTGTTTGGAGTACGCGCTTATTTAATTACTTATGAAGTGATATATGTAAGTGTTTTGATTTGAAAGTTCAGCTGCTGCTAACCAGCTAACGCCGGCTTGTTCTGCTTCCTGTCTCCCTGCCTGCAGGCAGGTCTCTTCTCCTGCAGATGGACTATAACTCCACCGTCTTGGACTGCAGCTGGTGACGCTGGTTCTTGTTCTGCTCCGGTGAAGAACTGGTTTGTGTGCTGCTACACCAAACTCGCAAAGGCTGCAGAGCAGAGCAAGGACTGATGTTTCTAGCTGCAGTTAGTGGGCTAGCTGTTTAGCAGCTAACAACAGACTGGTTAGCAGCAACTGAACCAATAACGTAGATCATATGTCAAAGTAGCGTCAGATTGCCCAGCCCTAATTAGGTATTTAGTTGAATCTACTAATCTTTTATCGTTAACTGAAAGTTTTATTTCTCTCAAGTCAATTCAACTTAATTTTCTCACTTTCTTTTGAGTTGAATGAACATACTACTTAAGCTCACTCAACTGATTGAATTGAGTACATGAGCAGACTTCCCAGCATGCATTGTTTATCAGTTAACACTCTCCAGAGATACTTTAGTAGTATAGTAATAATAATTTGAAGAAAACAAATATTATGGAAACTTGTTGTTTAACACCTTAAAGCTGCTGTAATCAATATTTTTATGCCAACAATGTATCAAATGACAATCTTAAAACAATCCACACACAAAGGGGGGTCAACCGTAGTGAATTATTTCTTGAATCTGCAACTTCTCTCGGCTTTACACAGCTTCATTGTGAGTTTTAAGCTCATTGTTTATCTGTTCGGACACGACAGCTTTTTACAGATGTTTTCACAGAAACATCTGTAAAAAGCCACTGTCCACAGCAGACAGACACAGTCAGAGAGCAGCTGGTGAACATAGTGGAGCATTGAACAGCTAAAGAGCCAGAGATATCCATCAGGAGCTGGTTGAGACCAAACACAGAGCTAAAAGAGAGGGAATCATGGACTGAGATTCATCAGGTGGAGACAAACATGACAAAAATGTGATACAATGTAATCAACAGTTTTTAATTCAACCTAATATTTTGCATTTCTTGAACTTGTTTTCTCCAGTTTAGTGAACTTAACTCAGCTGGTCTCATTTTTCAACTTTCAGTTAACTCTCATTTGCAAAGCAGCAGGGAACTTGGAAACTTTTGAAGTTCCCAAGTTTGAAGTTTGAGTGGAACTGGCTTGCACTTGGATTGAAATCCTAAACCACAGATGCAGCATGGTGCAAATTTTCTCTTTGATAATGACCTAAACTCCACTGCCATATCCATGTAGTCCAGGATCCATGATCTAAATATTTCACAGTTGAACACAATTCAAACCAGTGCTGTGTGTCTCTTCAAACTTTTTATGGTGCAGTGCCTCCGCGCAGCGCTCAGGATTCTGCACATTCCTCAAAGTCATCAATGATCAGTGAAACATAAAAGTGTTGAACGCACCGCGGCCACTTCTCCTCGCTCCCAGTCTGAAACAGCTGTGGGTGAAACGCAGCATGGAGAGGAAGTCGTACTCACCAGGATGTCCCTCTCCCACAGATTCGGAGGTAAACATGAAGGAGCCATCATGAGGAACGTGGTCGTAGTTCCCGTCCATCGTACCGTTCATTTTTGTCCCTGTGTTTGAAGCTGCCTGACTCGGTGTAAAGTGGGTAAAGACAGAGGAGCCGCCTGTGGAGCAGAGAAGCTGTTCTAGCACGAGATGTTCTTCTTATCAAAACAGGGGGAACAAAGATGGAGAGGTCGTGTGGTCGACTTTGGCTGCAGCCTAATCTCACAGTCCCAAGGCAGAGCAGCCGGATAACTCTGCACTATATAAGGCAAAGACAACATACACTCATACACACACACACTCATGGGGGGAGGGCGCCATGTGAACCAGTGGGGTTAGACCATTCAGAGGCGAGAAAAGTGGAGGGAGGGATCCCCTTTTTTTTTTTTTTTTCTTCTTGGTGACAGTTGTTTAACTCCTCCCGTGCTGGATGTTCCCACTGTGACACAAACTGAACGTATCAAACTCACAGTGTTTGGCAGTCAGACTTAGTTTTCCTTAGTTTTATACAGCAGAGCATTCATTTAATCAAAGGGTTACTCTGAAGTTCCTCCACAGATTCATTCATGCCGTGTCTTTGTACCTGGGGGCCCCTGAGGTCTTTGTCTGTGGCTGAGTACACAGAGCTGCTGCCAGAGCCACGTTTTTACTGCAGACAGAGCTCAGATATGAACTGATGAGGAGATTAAGACATTAGTGAAACATACATATATAAACATACACACACACACACGTGTGTGTGTGTGTGTGTATGTTTATGTATCATAAAAAATAGGCTCACGTCTCCTGCAAGCAGAGGTGGAAGAAAAACCTTTCGAAAATAAAAGTTTTAATACAAAAATTAAAAGTAAAAGTCAAAATCAATTTTAAAAAAAAAAAGTAATATCAGCAAAATGTACTTGAAGTATTAAAAGCACTTGTTCTGCAGAGAACTGTCCTCAGTGACATATTATATACAGTATGATAATAATAAACTTTTTATAGAGCCCTTTTCATACAAGATGTAGCTCTAAGTGCTTTATGATGAAAAATCAAATAAAATAGGAGGAATAGAAGGACAATGAAAATAGACAAATAGAAAGACAGTATGATAAAATATGTAAATATATGTAATATATGTAAATGAAAGTATAAACAAACCATTTAAGAAAAAAAAAATGTATGTGTATATATAATATATATATATATATATATATAAATAAATAATAGGTTTCCCTGTGGATCATAAAAGTATTCTGATGATGATGAAAAAAATGTTCACTGAGCGTCTCTTCCTGCTCTTGGCAAGAGTATATGACACTAATAGATTAGTAATACTGATGCATTCATGTGTAAACAGCATTTTACTGTTGAAGCTGCTCGAGGTGGAGGTGGTTTTAACTACTTTATATACAGTTAGGTTTAGTCCAGTGGTTCCCAACCTAGGGGTCGGGCCACCAGGTCGGGTCGCCAGATATATCTGAGGGGTCATTAGATGATTAAAGTGAGAGAACTCCTGAACTCACAAACTATTTTATGTTTTTATCAATACATGTTATGTTAAATGTATTTAACATATGTCTGTATTTATAGATAAATTTACAACATTTCCATCTGAAATGTAGTGAAGTATAAAGTAAAATAAAATAGATATACTGAAGTAAAGATACAAGTATGTTAAAATTCTACTTCGGTGCAACTTGTGCAAAGGTGCTTAGTTCTTTCCACCATTACCAGTAAGATCATTAATTATTTTACATAAACACTATTAATCAACACAGACTAATGCTAATTAATCATCATTTTTTAATTATAACTAATTAACTCTGCTTCAGACTGATTAAAGAAATCATGGACTTTGCAAAATGAAATGTTTCTTTATGTAAAAAAAAAAAACTGGGTTTGAACTGCAGAGCTCTCAGTTGTATGGTCATATTTCAACCACTAGATGTCCGTATTTTACAGAAACATTGTTGTTAGTTTCAAAGTCTTTATAATAAACTGAACTTGTTTGAAGTTGCAACAAGATCTTGACAGAAAAGTTCATTTGAACAGTTAATTAACGAACACCAGTGAAAATATTATTTATTATGATAGAGTTCAATACACGAAGGGCTGTTCCACAAAGAAAATGTGGTGAAGGGAGAATAGTTGCAGAGCACAAATCAATAATTACATATATATTATGCATCAAACCAAAGTGATGAATTTTGTCTTATGAACATGTTCCAAGTGAAACACTTAAAGTACATTAGTGTTTTATCTGCTTTAACACCAGTAAAAGTGCCAATAGTCATTTAAAATGAATCTAAAGTCCTGTGTTCAAACTGTAGTAAAAGTTCAAAGTATCATCAGTGAAATGTCCTTAAAGTATGAAAAGTAAAAGTGCTAAGTAGTTGTTTTCTAAATTAGACTGAAATTACATACAAGTAATAAGAAAAAATAGTTAAATAAGAACGAATAAGAACCAAACTACAGTGTGAAAGAATAAATCAGTTGTTTTTCTTTGGGTTTAAGGAACGTCTTCCTGAGTCGGCAGATTGATGACGTTAGTGTTTGTCTCAGGTCTGCAATTTCTCCCCAGCCTCTGGATTTCTTTTTGGACCTGAAGGGCAATAATGATTTTTTTTTTATTTGTTGTTAGTTTTGACAAAACAGACTCTGATGTAGTAGAAACTTCTTGTACAAACTCAGCTTACCTCTCCGTTCAGGAAACAGTACAACACAGCAACAATAAAACCCTGTTGCAACATGAAAAGTCAAAGTTAAAAGTGTTGTAATTACATCAATCAAACTGACAAATATTTTCTTCTGAAAATGAAGGATTTACAGTTTTTCTTTCTGATGTGAGTTTATTTCGTTTTCTTGGATCAGTGGTCGGACAAAACAAGGTATTTGAAGACACCATGTTGAACTGTGGGAGATTATAACAAGATTTTTTTTTTTTAACAATTTATGACTTTTTGTTTTGTTTTTTAGACTAAATGATTAATCAAGAAAATAATCAGCAGGTTAATCGTTAATGACAACAATTAATTGCAGCCGTAATATTTTGCATCAATAATACAGTTTGTATCAAAAGTATTTTATGGTGTTTCAGCTGGAGCTGGAACTAGCGATTGTTTTGATTATCAATTAATCTGATCTCGTTTCTTTTGGTCTAAAAAATATCAGAGAAAAGTGAAAACCACAAAATATTCAGTTTACTGTCATAATATCACAAAGACAAGCAATAAGTCCTCAGTCATGAGAAGCTGGAACCAGTTTAGCTTTTAAAAACTGACTAAAAAGACCAACAGATACAGTAGAACACCAAATAACTAAATAACTTGAATAACTTATTAATCTATCGTTTGAGTGATGTGATGGATCTGTCACCTGGAAGGAGCCTAAAACTAACTCCAGGTAGAGTCGGGGTCCCACACCAACATGATCCGGGAACAGGGCAAACAGCACGTAGTGAAGCCCAAACAGAGGGATGAGGAGGAGGGTGGAGCGACGGAGCCTCCTCCAGGGGGCAGCAGATGACAGGAGAGGAAGTCAAACACTCAACACATGAGACAGTAATGAGTCAGTCTAACAATGACCAAGTGTTTGTTACCTGTACAGATGTGTCTCACTTGGATTCACATGTGTGGCCTTGGTCTTCTGAACGATGATCCTGCTGATGTTCAGGAAGATCAGGAAGTTGAACTGTGGGTTATAGAACACTCAGGAGATTTATTGTCATGTTTTCCGTGCATGAAATATACAGTTAATGATCTTTTATGTTTGTATTTTAAATAACCGTGTAGTGTTTTAAATGCGTGATCGTCTCAGGTGTTGCTGTTGTGATTGGTTGTTGCAGCCGGTGCACAGTATAAAGATGTGTTGTTAAGGACCATAGCTGCTGCTTTATTCAAATTCGTGCCAACAGTTTCTTTAAATCTCATTCTCCTGCACAGCTGTCTGACAGATGTGCATGCAGTTTTGTGTTACGTCCTTTAAACTATATCTCTGGTGTTATTCTGTTTTTCTCATTGTCAATGCATCCCATGAAAAGACCAAAACCAAATTTAAATGTCCCGTACTAACTGATATTAATTGTTTATCAGAGCCTGATATATCTTACTATATAGAGCTCCACTGTTCCCAAAAACTATTAAAAACACTGGGCGACATGTTCTTTCATTATGAACACGCACACTGTAGTGTATTTTGACTCAGTCCAACACACACTGTGATACTGCTGTAAATACTTGTGGATTAATTCGCCACTGGAAATAGTCCCTGACAAAGTCACTATTTCCTCCTGTTTGAGTAACTTTTATCGAAAACTTACAGCAACCAGCTGTTGTAAGAAATTACACAGTTAAAAGAAAAAAAAAAAAAAAAAAAAAAAACTATATTTGCGGGGGGTGTTTTAAAGATCAGTAGGAACCAACGGCTG